AGGAGAAGAAGTGCCTCCAGGAAAATAACCTTAAAATTGCTGAGAGCCTCCAGAGAGTTGAGGATAAATGGAATCACTTGAATAAGATCAAGGCTAAGCTTGAGCAAACACTTAATGAACTTGAAGATTCTCTCGAGCGCGAAAAGAAACTCCGGAGTGATACAGAGAAATCTAAGAAGAAGGTTGAGTCAGACTTGAAACTGACCCAAGAAGCCATCGCTGGCCTGGAGAGAAACAATAGTGAACTTGAGCAAAGCATTCAGCGAAAGGATAAAGAAATCGCTGCGGTTGTCAGTAAACTTGAAAATGAGCAAGGGCTTGTCTCGAGAACCCAGATGCACACAAAGGAGCTGCAACGGCGCATCCAGGAACTCAAGAAAGAGATGGAGCACGAGCGGCAGGCCCGGGGGAAGGCAGAGAAAGCTCGAGGACAACTGAGTCGGGAAATGGAGGAGCTGGTGGAGAGCCTGGACAGGGCTGGAGGCGCGACTGCGGTTCAGGCCAAGCTCAACCGGGAACGGGAGGCTGAGCTGGCCGCTCTCCGCCGTGCTTTAGAGGAAGCCAGTATGAAGCATGAATCTGCTTTCACCAGCCTACGCAAAAAGCATAATGAAGCCCTGGGAGAAATGACTGATCAAATAGACCATCTTAATAAAATAAAAACTAGGTAACTTGCGAGCCTTGCTTCCTTGAGTAATTGTCATACATATGCAAACAAGAGACATTTCACCCCATTATCTACATACTAATGCTGTCCTCACTGACAGAACTGAGAAGGACAAGGAAACCATGCGACGAGAAGCCGAAGACGCACGAGCTGCAGTGGACGGCCTCCTTCGGGAAAAGGTACAAGAGAATTATGACACATGAATCAGGGAAGTATATATTTTGAGTGTGCATATATATTGTGTATATAAAAATGCGTGTGTATGAATGTATATATGTACATATGTGTATATATGTATGTGTATGTGTGTGCATATCTTTATTTCTCTCTCTCTCCAGAAATTCATATGATGCACGCACACACACACACACACACACACACACACACACACACACACACACACACACACACACACACACACACACACACACACACACACAACACACACACACACACACACACACACACACACACACACACACACACACACACACACACACACACACATACACACACACACACATACACACACACACACATATATATATGTGTGTGTGTGTGTGTGTGTGTGTGTGTGTGTGTAAAAAATATATATATATATATATATATATATAATATATATATATATAATATATATATATGTGTGTGTGTGTGTGTGTGTGTGTGTGTGTGTGTGTGTGTGTGTGTGTATGTAATATATATATATATATAATATATATATATATATATATATATATATATATATATATATATATATATATATATATAATATATATATATATATATATATATATATATATATAATATAATATATATATATATATAATATATATATATATATATATATATATATATATATATATATATATATATATATATAATATATATACACATGTATGTATGTATAACACATATGAATATATGCATTTATATATATGTGTGTGTGTGTGTTTGTGCTTACATATGTTCCTTCGATCTAGGTTGCTGCTGAAAAGTATCTGAAACAAGCAGAGCAGCGTTGCCAAGACACGCAGGCTAAGCTTGACGAGGCGAACCGCACCGCCGCCGACCTAGATGTCGCGAAGAAGAAACTCGCATCAGAGAACTCGGTCCTTCTTCTGCAGCTGGAAGAAGCCGAAAGCCAGATTAGTCAGCTCTCTAAACTTAAAATGTCATTAACTAACCAACTTGATTACAACAGAAAATTAGCTGACGACGAAAGTAGGGTAAGTACCACTTGGTAACAGCAGAGGAAGTAGCAGGTAAGTACCTTATGGCTAGACTGTTGCTCTTGCCATTGCCCCTCGGAGGATGGCTCCTGCTGCTTTGCGTTGACTGCTGATCAGCATGTAGCTAGGCTTATACCTGATTGGAACGCGCAGGAAGGAATATAAAACCAAAATGAATAAATTAATAAATGCACAGAAAAGGAGCTCATAAATACTACACCAAGGAGCTTCAAATTTCCCAAGGTTGCAGTAATGTCAGTTAAACGGAAATTGACCAACAAGGAACTATTACCTGGTATATGAATTTTATGTAATCTTACATATTTGGGAATGTGATAAAGGTAAGCTATTGAAATATCTACTTGCTGGGAGGAAACTCGTTTTCATACATTTTCAAAATCTGTCTCGTATTGTATTCTTCCTTTACCTTATGAAAATAGTTGTCAAATAATACGTCAAATCAACGTATATGTTTCAAGATATGATGAATTATTTGGAATACATCCGCTTAACGGATCGCGACGATTTCGGTATCGCTGGATTCCTCGCACCGTCTACAATGCAAATATGTAAGTTTTATTGCTCAGACCCCCCCCCCCTCCCT